AAGGAGGTTAAGGATCTATATAAAGAAAATTATGAACCCCTAAGAAAGGAAATAGCAGAGGATATTAACAAATGGAAGAATATACCATGCTCGTGGCTGGGAAGAATCAACATTGTTAAAATGTGTATACTTCCCAAAGCAATCTACCTATTCAATGCCATCCCTTTTAAAATACCAACATCGTACTTTCCAGATTTGAAAAAAATGATTCTGCGTTTTGTATGGAACCAAAAAAAACCCATATAGCTAAGACAATTCTTGGTAATAAAAACAAAGCCGATGACATCACCATACCAAATTTTAGGCTGTACTACAGAGCCATAGTGGTCAAGACAGCATGGTACTGGCACAAAAATAGAGACATAGACATTTGGAATCGAATAGAAAACCAGGAAATCAAACTAACATCTTACAACCACCTAATCTTCGATAAACCAAAGAAGAGCATACCTTGAGGTAAAGACTCCCTATTCAATAAATGGTGCTGGGAGAACTGGATATCCACATGTAAAAGACTGAAACTGGACACACACCTTTCCCCACTCACAAAAATTGATTCAAGATGGATAAAGGACTTAAATTTAAGGCATGAAATAATAAAAATCCTCAAATAAAGTATAGGAAAAACACTGGAAGATATTGGCATGAAGAAGACTCCCTGGCAATTGCAACAACAACAAAAATAAATAAATGGGACTTAATTAAACTGAAAAGCTTCTGTACAGCTAAGGAGACAACAACCAAAGCAAATAGACAACCTACACAATGGGAAAGGATATATGCATATTTTGAATCAGACAAAAGCTTGATAACTAGGATCTATAGAGAACTCAAATTAATCCACATGAAAAAAGCCAACAATCCCATATATCAATGGGCAAGAGACATGAATAGAACCTTCTCTAAGGAAGACAGACAAATGGCGAACAAACATATGAAAAAATGCTCATCATCCCTATTTATTAGAGAAATGCAAATCAAAACCACCCTGAGATACCATCTAAGCCCAGCAAGAATAGCCCATATCACAAAATCTGAAACCTGCAGATGCTGGCGTGGATGTGGAGAGAAGGGAACACTTTTCCACTGCTGGTGGGACTGCAAACTAATACAACCTTTTTGGATGGAAGTATGGAGAACCCTCAAAGAACTCAAGCTAGACTTCCCATTTGATCCTGCAATCCCATTACTGGGCATCTACCCAGAAGGAAAAAAATCCCTTTATCATGACACTGGCACTAGACTGTTTATTGCAGCTCAATTTACAATTGCCAAAATGTGGAAACAGCCTAAATGCCCACCAGCCCCGGAATGGATTATCAAGCTGTGGTATATGTATACCAGGAATACTATTCAGCCATTAAAAAAATGGAGACTTTTTAGCCTTTGTATTAACATGGATGGAAGTAGAACACATTATTCTTAACAAAGCATCACAGGAATGGAGAAGCATGCATCCTATGTACTCAATTTTGATATGAGGACAATTAATGACAAGGGGAGGGAGTGAGCAAAGAGAGGAAGAAGGAGGGAGGAGTGGGGAAGGGATTAGCAGAGAGAGTGGGGGGGTATTGGTATGTGCCACACCTTTTGGTAGCAAGACACAATTATAAGAGGGACTTTACCTAAGAAATGCAAAAAGTGAAACCTGGTTTCTTGTACCCTCAATGAATCCCCAACAATAATTTTTTTTAAAAAAATTTAAAAAATATATGTTAATTTGCTTCACTACAATAAACATTTTGTGATCCATATGGATCTCATAATATCATGTTGTTTACCTCAAATAAACACAAGAATATTTATTTTAAAAATAAAAATTAGGGGGCAGCACCTGTGGCTCAGTGAGTAGGGCACCAGCCCCATATACCAAAGGTGACAGGTTCAAACCCAGCCCCAGCCAAACTGCAGCAAAAAATAGACAGGCATTGTGGCCGGCGCCTGTAATCCCAGCTACTCAGGAGGCTGAGGCAAGAGAATCACCTAAGCCCAAGAGCTGGAGGTTGCTGTGAGCTGTGACAGCACAGCTCTCTACTAAGGGTGACAAAGTGAGACTCTATCTCTAAAAATAAATAAATAAATAAATAAAAATGAGGGCCAGGTGCAGTGGCTCATGCCTGTAATCTTAGCACTCTGGGAGGCTGAGGTAGGTGGATTGCTTGAGTTCAGCAGTTCAAGACCAGCCTGAGCAAAAGCGAGACCCCATCTCTACTAAAAATAGAAAAACTGAGGCAAGAGGATAACTTAAGCCCAGGAGTTCAAGGTTGTTGTGAGCTATAATGACTCCAGGGCACTCTACCTGGGGTAACAAGAGTGAGAGTCTGTCTCAAAACAAAAAATAAAAATAAAATTTTTAAAAAGAATAAAGGAAAAAGTCTGAAATATAGAAAATAAGCATACTGAGGAAGTATAATAAGATCACTGGATAGTGCCAAGCACCATTTTGAATTGTGATTATCAACTTACATGAGACATATTGACATAATAGAATGCCTTTCTCTAGAAATGTTCTGTTGTTTTAGTAAAGGCATGGAGTAGGTGTATGACTGAGTTTAACCATTAGGACTATGGCAAAGGGAGAAGAGAGTGAGAAAGTCAAGGGTGTTTGCAAGATAATAGTTCTGATAATGGACCATGATTTTTAACTGGGAAAATTTAGGAAGTGAGGACATGAGGATATAAAGGAGTGAGTGGTTATTATTATTAATATTACGGAGATAGAGATGAAGAACTGAAGGTCACCATGAATGGAAGACTAGTTATAGTAACCATGGTGGGAGGTAATGAAGGGATGGCTAGAAAGTAGGAGGAGGTCTGGAATCAGTTTCACATGTTGTGTAGTTGCTGGTGCAGATGAGGTGAAGTATATGATCATGGAAATGGACAACTGAGGTAGGGTAAAATACAGGACAGTTGGATAGATATGAGGCAGTCCAAAACCAGAGACCAGAAATACTAAAGTCAAGAATGGTAATGGGAATAGGACAGGGAGGAGGTGACAGGAGCAGGAGGTAAAAGGGTAACTGAAGACATCAGTGAATGAGGGAGTGGCCAAGGTTTTGTAAATGTCAACAGAAGGAAGCTTGGATTTCTGGGGCCACTGGCATGCTGAGATCAGTCCTGATTATCTCAAGGCAGATGGTGGGAAACTTATTCAGGGTGGATGATGTGGAGCCTAGGGCTACTGGTCTCTCCAGCATTTAGAGTTCTGAGATCAGCATTTGAGTTCAAACTACTACCTGCTAGTTGTGTGGGCTTGAGAAAGTCTACTAAAACCTACTTACTTCCATCTGTAAAATGGAGATAAATGTTCAATAAATTGCCCAGCTCACAAGGACTATTTGAGATAACAGTGCAAAAGCACTTCGCAAGCTCTAAGTTTAGCTAAAATTAAAAATTTATATGTCTTACATTGTCATTACTAGCCTCTAAAGTAGAGCAGGAAGAATTAGTCTTTTTATCTACCATAGATAAAAAAGGTTAGGTAACCCATATCCCTGTGTCATAGAGATTACAAGGTCGAATAGTACCAAAAAATAAAAGTTTATAAAATGAATAAAAGGGGTGGCGCCTGTGGCTCAAAGGAGTATGGTGCCAGCCCCATATGCCAAAGGTGGTAGGTTCAAACCCAACCCTGGCAAAAAATGGCAAAAAAAAAAAAAAAGAATAAAAGAGTCTCTGATTAATCCTGTCAATATTATTATCAACATTACCATCATTACTTTTAAGGATTAAAGCTTTAAAAATGTACATGTGTGCAGAAAAGTACAGAGACCATCATGCATATATGAATTTTTACATACCAATTAGCACAACTCCTAAAAAAATTGATGCCCAAAAATATTCCCCTAAATGAAAAAGCTGTGTCTAAAGATGTTCATACTGTTATAGTGAAAAGGGTGAAAAAAGCTAATTGTTTGGTGGAGGAATGATTAAGTAAATATTGGCACATAGAATATGGAGCCATTAAAAATGACACATTTGAAGAACTATAGAGCAAAAGTCACCACTCTGAATGCCCTTGTGCCAAGCACGTAGAAGAACTAGGAGAACAGCCTAGTATGAAATGATAAGGTGTAGTCAGAGAGCATCTGGTGGACAGTGTGTGCAAGGCCTGCCCAAAGATATTCTCATTAACGAGTTTAATAATAATAATAAATAAATAAATGAAAATAAAAGATGGTATTAACTAAGCAAAACACGGGCCAAGTTTTGCCCACAGGTCTTTAGTTTGTAATCCATTCTGGAGATACAGGAAAATAGTCAAAAATGAAAAAAACATAGTAGGTACGGCAATATGATTATAACAGTGCAAAGATTATAGCAACATGTGGACAAATACTGGAGGGAAGCATGGGGAAATGAACACTGGCCTTGGTAGGAACTTGACCAAATGCCTTAGCCCCCTTTAAACCTCAGTCTCTTTATTTGTAAAATGGGATCTTTAAAAAATGCCTTCCTCGTAAAGCTGTTGTAAAGGTTAAGTGCAATTTTAAGTAACAGTAGGTAGAAAAGTGGCTAAGAACACAGTTTCTCTCCCTTTCATTTCTTGCTCGTCATTATTTTATTATCATTAACTATTTATGGATTGATTTCATATCCCACCATCCTCTTCTGTTGTGTTCTCCCAACCCTGGCCACAGTAGCCTTGTTGACATTTCTTCATGTTTTATGTGTAGGACCAACATAAATCCCCTAGGATTCCCCACCTTCATGAGGGTCTCTGCTCAAATGATAGTTCCTCAGAAAGGTTTTCCTTCTCCCTCATACTGCTTTTTTTTATTACACATTAGAACCTGACATTTTTTACACATTAGAACCTGAAGCATTATTTGTTGACTATCACTGAATGATTAGAGCTGAGACATTGTGCTTTATTTTCCTCCTTTTTATCCTGAATCCCACAATGATGATGTTAAATGTATAATTTTAAAACACATTTTTTTTCCAGGTAATAGTATTGTGTAGCTCTTCATAATCTTTCCTCACTTTTTTGGCAGATCAGCCATACAGAAACTGGGGGCAGAGGTATTTGAAGAGGTCTATAATTACCTCAAGAGAGCAAGGCATCAGAATGCCAGTGAAGTAGAGATTCAGGAGCATCTCCAGAAAGTGGTGCCTCGGGCCAGCGACTGTTTTGAAGTGGATCAGCTCCTTTATTTTGAGGAGCAGCTGCTGATCACAATGGGAAAGGGGCCTACTCTCCAGAGCCATCACTAAGCAACTCTCAAAAACAAGCAGAAGTTCAAATGGACAATTTTCGGTGAAAATCCATTGAACATAGAAGCTGGACTCCGTACTGGGAAATGAGCATAAAACTGGAGCTGCCATCTTTACTTTCAATTCCTTATCCAGAGTAGTAAACATGGCTGTCCATACTCAGAGTCATAAGTGTTGTTTAGACTATGGCTGAGAAAATGTATAGATCAAATTTGACTTCTTGAAAAGCATTTCTCTCATGTGCTCTCGGGGCTTCCAGGAGGGTGGAACCACCCTGAGAGTGGTCTGGTAGAAGCTGCATGCTCTTTACCATTTTCAACTGAAGGACACAACTCAGTGCCTGTCTGGGCTCTCCATGGATTGCTCACAGACTGCTTGTGATGGTCACTGGACAACAGACTCTAACGTGCTGAGCTGCAGCCAAGGAGTCAGACATACCTATCTCAGCTATCCTATTTTTGGTTTACCTTTTTGCCCCAGGGTTAAGAATGGAAAATATGATCTTAGCACTCTGAGAGGCCCACTCATATGCATTTCTTGAGCTCAGGAGTTCCAGAATGGTAGGGTCCAACCCCATCCAAATAGGGTAGACCCACGTAAAAGAATCAACCCCCTACCCTCTCCCACCGGATGTCCCACCTGGGAAAGGTAAATGGGCCAACCCCCACCCTTCCAACAGTGTCCAACCCAGGAAAGGGAATGTCCCAACCCCCACCTTTCTGACCTTTAAAACCCCCGTTCGCATTACCCATGTGAGGATTTCTTCCTAGCCTGGTTGGAAATCTTACCCGACTTGCACCTGAGTGGAATAAAGCCATTGTAATTACACAATCCACACCTCCGTTTTCTTTTTGTCTCACTGCTCAGAGTAATCTTTAATCTTTGGCTCCATAACCTTTCTTAGTGCCAAACCAGGATGGGGAGAAGCCCCTTTGGGGGGCCAAAGTATACCCCATCTGTCTCAGCTAAATGGACCCTTTTTCTAGTGAGATGGAAGAAAACGGTAAACCTCTTTGATCCTGCCTAAACTCCATGTAATGGTGAGATGAATGTTCCTCTAAAACTCCTTTTCTAAACTTTTTAAAACTTCTCTTTCTATCCTCTCAACTTCCTCTTTCTCTCTCCCTCCATCTCTGGATCTCTTACTTCCTTCTCCATTTTTTTTTTTTTTTACAGCTGGTTTCACACATGGAGGCCTTGCTTCCCTGATTGCCCAGTGCCTCGTGTTTTGGGATCCCTCTTATAGGCCTGGGCTCCAGCTGGTTCCCCAGCCTCATCCCTCTGGTGCCCTACGGTGGGCCTAAACCCCTCCAGCTAGTTAAGGTCACATGCAGAGGCCAGGCCCTTTTTTGACCAAAGTCGTAAGCTGAGAGTCCAGGTAATCTCCCAATGCCAACCTTGACAAGCCAGGTTTGTCAGTACATTGCCCTACTGTGGGCTAGACCATTTTTGGTAGTTCTGTGAGGCAAGCTCACCACTCCAGTGCTTTTCCAGAGGCCTGGATCACTTTTTTTCTGACTGGTCTCACACGTGGAGGCCCACCTCCCTGATTCCAGCTCTGGACTTTCTTTCTTCCTCCTATATTCTCCCTTTAATCTCATTTCTTTTCCTACCTCCAATTTTCAATATAGGCATCACACAGTCACAGATGCCCCCTTGCTCACCTCTAAGCTGCCTTTTGACTAATCTCAAGCCTCTAAAGCTCTATCCTGACCTCAAATCAAAAATTTTTTTCTGTAATACTACTTGGCCTACATACAAGCTTGACAGTGGTTTGCAGTGGCCTCAACATGGCATCTTCTATCTCTCAATTCTTACTGATCTCATTAATTACTGTCAGAAATTAGGCAAATTGTCAGAGATCCCTTATATCAAGGCATTTTTTATACTCTGAAACATTCCTTCCTTGTATTCATCCTGTGAACCCTCTCAGATTCTCCTGGCTCAGGTAACACCAGCTTCTCCTGATACCCTTCCATAGACCCTACTGCTCCTCTCCAACACCCCCTTCTACAATCCCTCTGTTCTCTCAATCAGAACACCCAGGAAGTTTCTCTGTATGGGATATCTTCTTCCATCTATAACCTCCCATCAGTCACCCATTCTCATTGCCCTCCAACCCCCACATCCATACCCTTTCCTTAAACAATACACCATCCCCCCAGAGCCCTCAGACCTCCCAGCAAGATCTCATTGATCTGGCCCTAAAGGTGTGGTAGTACCTCTCAGAGCTCCAGTATTGGCTTTCACCATTAACCAAACCCAACCACTTCTCAAAATGCATGAGACATTCCAAAGAAACAAAATCTTCCTCAGGATTATACTTTAAGTACAGCAAACCAGGCTTCTGGGCAAAGCAGTGCCGCAAATCCAAACCCTCCCCAAACTGTGTCCAGCCCACAGAGGTCTGGCGTCCTTTGTCTTTCTGATGATCCAGTGCAGATGCTCTCAGAACACAGCTGAAATTCCCTCCTGAGCCTAGCTGCAGGAGACTGACGACCCCCTGGAAAATCAGAATGCCTCCTGGACGCCATTTTGGAAAACTGAACTCTAGGTCTAATTTTTGCTTATAGAAGGTAAGCCTATCTTTTCTCTTTTCTAACAAATATGGGAGCAACTTCATCCATGCTGCTACCTCATAAAAATCCTCTAAAAATGGGCAGAGATCTTATTAATGGATATTACATGTCCTCTCAGGATTGCTGGCGGCCCTGGCAACTCCAACTGGTTCCTGCCTCTCACTGTCCACCTTCCTCTTTGGTTATTGTCTGATAAGGTCACTAATTATGGTTTTTTTCTCATTCTCAGTTTTGAACCAGTAACCATCTGCCTCATGTCTCAATTTATTAACCAGACAGTCACCCCCAAAACAACTCATATCCTTGCCTTACTGGATACCAACCAGCTCAGACCAAAAAAGCCTAAGAACTCCTATAAACACCACTCCCTTCCCCCACTCCCCCTTCATTCTTTTTACTAGCAGCCCACACAGCCCCTCCTTCCACAGGAAGTAGTCAAAGAGATACCACTCCCATCATCCCACCTCCTTATAAAAGACAAAAAAGACTAGAAATAATAGTGTCGAACCTCACCCAAATAGGGTGGACCCACCTAAAAGAACCCCCCTACCCTCTCTCAACGGATGTCCCACCTGGGAAAGGTAAATGGGCCAACCCCCACCCTTCCAACAGATGTCCAACCCAGGAACGGGAATTTCCCAATCTCTACCTTCCTGACCTTTAAAACCACCATTTGCCATTACCTGCATGTGGATTTTTTCCCAGCCCAGTTAGAAAGCTTACCCCACCTGCACCCAGGTGGAATAAAGCCATTTTAATTGCACAAACTGGACCTCCATTTTCCTTTCATCTCACACTTCAGGAATAATCTTTCATCCCTATTTGGGTAGGCTTTGACTCTATCACAGACCAGCCTGAGCAAGAGCAGGACCCCATCACTAAAAGCTATTCAGGTATTGTGGCAGGTGCCTGTAATGACAGCTACTCAGAAGGCTGAGGCAAGAGGATCAGTTGAGCCCAAGTGTTTGAGATTGCTGTGAGCTGTGATGCTATGGCACTCTACCCAGGGCAACAGCTTGAGACTCTGTCTCAAAAAATAATAATAACAATCAGCATAATGACCCATAAGAAACAATAATTAACATAAGCCACGACCCCAAACAACAACATTCCAATTTAAAAGTTAATCTCCTAAATCAATTGCCCTAAACTCTTCAAGATACACATGTTTAGGTTAAAGCTGAATTTACAAAACAGCAAGAATCGGAGATGTGAGGTGAAGGTCATATAGGACCTAAACTGACCAGAACAGCTGTGTCCTCTTGGCCTTAGCCTGAATGACTCCATCGTATTCTCACCACATGTGCTTTTGTTTTGACTTTATAAAAGCGCACTTTTGAGGGACTAATCCATTTTCTCAAGAACAAATCCAGTGTGAGAGCAAGAATGAACTCACACTGAGAACAGCACCAACCCACTTATGAGAGATCCACCCCCATAATCCAAACGCTTCCCACTGGGCCTCCTCTACCTCCACCACGTTTTTGGAGGGGACAAATATTCAAATCATAGCAGGAAGATTTTTGCTAAACTGCATAAGATTCCTGCTGAAGGCAGGCCATGTAGATCAAATATTGAGGGTGACCAACTATTAAGGGTGGAAGAGTTTCACTAAACTGACTTAGTAGGATTCTTGCTAAAGCAAGATTTGGCAAGCCAAAGACAGGGCCAAGGATAAAGCCTAGTGAAAAAAAAAGAGGGCTTAAGGAGGAGCCTGTTTAAAATTTGGTCAAACAGAATCTTTGTCAATATCCAGACCTATCCCAGTCCTTTGGGGAGATGTAGGGCAAAAATATCTTTTGTTACAGAACTACTTGGGAGAATCTGATGCAAGAAATACTGTTACTCACTATTCTGCCTCCTGTTGACTGAAAAAAACGGAGACAAAGGGGTTCTTTGTCTTACTGACCTGTTATCACTGGTGCTGTGCCCCCAGCATGAGGCAGACTAGTGAGTTCAGCATGCATTAGAATCACCTGGAGGACTTGTTGAAGCACAAATTGATGGGCTCCATCACCAGCATTTCTGATTTAATAGCAGTGGAGCCTGAGAATTTGCATTTCTAACAAGTTTCCAGGTGGTAGTGTTACTGCTGGCAGCACACTCAAAACCACTGTTCAAGACCCTCTCTTCTTACCCCCCTTCTCCGTCTCCCTTTACCTGGAGCAGAAGTTTTACCTGCTCTTACTTGGGGCCTATTTCATCTCTGAAAGTGATGTAAGGATTGCCAAGGAGATTTCAGATGCCACACAGTGAAAACAAAACTGGGGCTAGGGAGAGTTGGTGTAAATAACTTGATGGGCTAATTTTAAGAACAAAGGGGCATGACTGAAACCATCCACATAAAATTCATTAAATTAAACTTCTAGGTTTTTAACAAAAGGATATACTTTGAATAAAAGCTTAAACATTAACCAGTTTAGCTACCTAGCCACTTTCCTATAGCTGCTTACTACTTAAAAGTCTCGGGGCCTGTTATAGATCATAACTTCTATACATAACACCTTCAATGTTAAGAAGCCTTCAGTTTTCCATCTGAGATATTTCCAGATTTTGCATTGCAGTGGGTCCACGGATTCCAGCCAGTCTCAAGGATGCCAAGGAAGGAACGGACTAAGCAAGAGAATGCAGTTTCTTCATCCCCCTGTCCCATCACTTCACCCGTCACATTTTTGACCAGTCAGCAAATCCTAGTCCTTCAGCCCCCTACCTACCTAAATTCCCCTAAAAACCCAGTCCAAAACTCCTTGGGGAAGTAGATTTGAGGTTCCCTCTCACCTCCTTACCTCGCTGCTGTTCGATTATAAAACTCTCTACTGCAACTCTGGCTGTTTTGGTCTGTTCCCACATAAGGGGCAAAACCTGGTGGTCTTCTTTCATGATCACTGGGCTCTAAGTCTCTGTAACCTGTGGCATATCAT